TTTCAGATTCAAGACTTGTAAAACCACTTTTTTTCCTGGTGCTTTCCATCCCAGGGATGTCGAAACACTTTTACTGAGATCACGAATYAAACCCACAGAGCCTCCCCAGGGGACAGAGAAGGAGCAGAACCCTGTGGCAGTGCTGGGTGACACCAGGACAGGGACACAGCAGGAGCTGCTGCTGCATTTCCCAGCTCGTGGCCTTGGGTTTAYATAAGTGGACTCAGAAATCACAGCACTGCCCTTACCCTCCCATCTACCYTAAATTCCTACAATATTTCTGGTGGTAAACAACCTCCAGGACTCATTTCTTGGAGCAGCAGCAGATGGTCAAGAGCATTTCCTGAAATTGAATATTATAATGAATTTAGGATCGGGAAAATTTACATAATAATCTGTTTTAGATTCTGATAGTGGAGAAAAACCTACGTGGAAACTGCATCTTTTCAGCTATTCGAATTAAAGGATAAACCTCCAAGTATTTTAATTAGAAACAAACTTTTTGCTCTTCCAGATCCACGGAAGAAATTGAAAAATGAAGCAGCCAGGGAGGCTCAAGGCCACAGATGGGGCTYGGGTCAGGTTTACCTTTTATAACCTGGTGTGGGATGGTGTGGGGTGACACAGGGTGAGGATGGGAGGATTTTGGGGCCATCTCCTCCTCCTCCTCCCCTTGGCACTGGCACAGCCCTGGGCACTCCATCCCCATGCCCATCCCATCCCCAGGGCTCCATCCATCCTCCCGCAGCAAAATTCCCCTTCCCACCCTCATGCCAGCAGATGCAGAGGCCCTTCCCTCTCAGAAAAGCAAATATTTAGCCTAGATAAAAAAAAAAAAAACAAAAAACCCAGAGCGTTTTCCCCAGGTAATACTGGTAACTAAAATAATCACATTCACTTTGCTGGTTTAATTTTATATTTCCATTTCTACCTTATCTTTTTTCTGCAAGCATCATTAAACCACACCATAACAAAAATACATGAACTGTTATTCTTTCCAGAGAAGCCATAAACCACCTCAAAGCTTTTCAAGTTTATTCTTATCTCGTACATCTTCCTCTGGTTCGGGGTTTTTTTTTTGTTTTTTTTCCCTTCATGCATTTCAGAAAGGTAGTTTTCCCTAATGTTAAGAATAGTTGCATTGAAAATGAGATGCTGCCTTCTGAAAAGCCCCTCTGGAGGATTAAATAAGTAAAATATAGCCAGAAAATAAACTGGAACCTCATTAAAATAATTTTTTGCGAGGAGAAATCCTAGTTTACAATAGGTTTTCAATATCACTTAGAAAATTCTTCCAGTCATATATATATGTTCTTAATTCAGGACCTTCCATTAAAAAAGACATTACAGAGAAGAGCGAGAGAGGCCATTTAGCACCCTTGTTTATATAAAAATGCATATTAGGGCAGGTGCAATCTCCAGCAGAGGGTTTGGGATGCAGCTGGAATGGGCTGGAGGTGCCAAGGAGGGCTGGAAAAGATGGGATGTGGCACCAACCCCTCCTCATCCCCTCACTTTTCACAATTCCCCACTTCCCAACCCCTCCAGGCACTCAGGTGCCCACCCAGGCTGGGCTCAGAATGTTTTTGGACAGGGAGGTGAAATCCAGGTGAGCCACAAAGGGCATTGATAAATATTTTATCCCCAAAA